ACGACGACGGCAGCACGACGATTTCACTCCAGATCGCAGCAGCCCCGACTGAGTGGGAGCTCGCCTTTTGTCCTCCCCAGCGTGGCCGGGCTCCTCCCTCGGCCCCGCACCCCTCTGGATCCCCCAGAAGGCTCCGTGCCTTGCCCACAGGTCCAGCTGGTAGTACGGGCTGCTACCCCAATCCCATTGTCTACCAATCTCCCTGCGGCACGCGCTACAGTGACTCATTCAATGTCACTACAAACGTAACCTCCGCGATATGCAAGGGGCTGCTGTTTTTTCTGTCGATTGACTATAGCAGAGGCGTACGGATTTTCAACAAACTAGATCTCTGCATTCTTTATTTCATTAAGGCCTATAGTACCAAAAAGAGCCTTGGGGCTTTGGGTTGTTATTTGTCTTCAAAGCTATGCCTCTGCTCACATTATTTGAGGATTTGTATGATTTTGGGCAGGCCCATCTAAAGCTGCGTGACCAGGAGTCGGAGCCATTTCCTGTTCAACTTGGCCTGTGACAGAAATTCACTCTGGCCCCATGCATTACATGACATAGCATCTTCAATAACCATGTAGTTTGAGAAGCTCCCAATGGTCGTTTGAAAACCATTGCATTCATTAGGGTTAGAATGATATGCGAATCGATGCCTGGTTATAGTTAAAGGATCGTTTCCTTCTGGTCAACCATGTTACATTTGCTGATGATCTGGTAATGGCTACTTAATGAGATGGAATTAGGGAATCTTGTTCTGTGGCTTGATAATTTCATCATGAAATGGGGCCTTGCAAATGTTCCACGAAAAATTCACCTGCCTGGGAATTGAATGTCATCAACACTGCACCTGCTCAACTCTCCATTAATAATCAGGCAGTTCTACAAGTGTTGGAGGAGCCCCCATACTTGGTTAATGGGTTCACGACTAGCTCTGGTTTGGCTGCCAAAGTCTCACTTAAAATTAGTTGAGCAGCATTCTTTCATTAGACTGTATACCACTGTGTTTGGTACTGGCAAAGGAGGTCCCATGATGTAGATGTAGATACTCACCCCGAGCTCTCATTACTCTGGTGCGTTGTCTTTGTGCTGTACGCCTTTTGGCGTCCTCTGGTCTAACACTGTTTGAGACGAGGCTCAAAAGAAAGCTGTCTCTGGTGTGGACCAATCAGTTTTAAAGACAATGCATATATTATCAGTGTTTTTTTGCATTCTGACGACAAGCATTGTGGTTAATGCAGACATGATTCCTTGTAAAAGGTTTCAGTTTGTTGTTTTAACATCTTACCACCTGTTTTGTTGCCAGAAAAAAGGGGACAAACCTATTATCATGTGTGGAAGGTGCCTAGACTTTTGCTCCATACAAAGCTGTGAGTGTCCATCGCCAAGGTCTAGTCCATATGAGACACATTTAAGGCCACAAACATGGTGTTAAATTGCACCTGTCATGGTATTAGCACTGATAAGATTACTTTCAATTATTCATGAATAGTGGATTTTTTTATATGTTAATGATCCATGTGAAATGTACGTGTATTTAAGAGTTTTTCTTTGTGGGGGAGCGGTGGTGCAGTTATTTCACTGCATTATGAACTCAACAAATAGATTGATTAAACATGATTGATAAGTGAAAGTTGAACTTATTGTGGGCCTCTGCTGTGTTGATTGATCTTAAATTAATTACATTGTGAAATGAGGAAGCATTAATACTGAGCAGATGAAGGCGGCCAGGCATGGTTCTGGACACACAACCACCTTTTTACCATGCCAGTGTGTGACAGTGTCAAGTTTGTATTTGCAGTAAAGTATATTAACCATTGAACAAGAAGCTTAAGTCAAATGAATAGTTTATTTTAGTTTTCATCTGGAACTTTTTGTCAGAATGGAAACGGTCAGGAAAATATCTCAGCACATATGCAGCTGAAGTTAGATCTGTTCCTCCGAGCATTCAAGCAAATCTGAGTCTGGCTTCACACTTCAAATTTTTGATTAACCATTAATTTATAAGTTTCTGCATAATACAAATAGTATTATTTTCAACACCCTTTGCTATTTTAGCTGAATTTTTCTTAAATATTCTTTTCGTCGCGAGACAGCCGAAATTGTGTACTTGGAGTTTTGGGTAAAAATTCATTTTGAAGATACTAGGGCATCCAGGCATATTTATGACCATTGGCCCTCTCATTGTGTGCCTTAACAGCCCGTATAATGAATTGAGGAATCGTTTTCACTATATCATGAATATATTTATAAGTATAGACGTGTATTTCTAGATTTAAAGCTTTCGTGACTGCAAGGATCCATACTCTTTGGTTCTATTCGGTAAAGTCACGTAGGTAAAAAATAAAACAACAAAAATCACGACGTTTCGGCCACAACACAAGCGGCCTTCATCAGGTGAAGGGATCAGGCTGTCTCGAGGACAGCGCTGGAGTGAAACACAGCCACGCTCAGACCGCGGACCTTTAAGCTGTGTGCGAGCAAACAAGGTGCCTTGACAAAGGAATTATCATAAAAATTAGCATTTGATTGGCCGACTTTAGAAAAGAGGTAGTGTACGTGCCGGTGGACTTGCCGTTTGGTGCGGGGTGGGGGGAAGGGGGAGTTTACCTATTGATGGTGTGAAAAGGGAATTTATAAGAGCTGCGAAAGTTTGGGGTACCACTACTTGAAAAATATATTGTACCATTGAAATTAGTTTAATGTTTAGTTCTATTTAGAACATCTTTCCAATGGTTGCTTAATTTGAAACCATCTTCTCGGTTGAAATTGTGTTTGTAGATCTGAATTGCCTCGTGAACAAATCTCTGATAAAAACCCATGGGTTTGCAAAGAACCTTGGTATCGGAGAAAATTATATCGTGATCACCCACAGCGTTGTAACAGTGATCAGCCACGGCAGAAGAATTCGTTTTGCCGTGTTTCAAATCTGATTTGTGCTCGCGAATTCGGTCAGAGACATGTCGTTTTGTCTCCCCGATATAGCAATCACCACAGGTACAACTCAATTTGTAAACCCCGGGGTACTGTAAGTCAGGAATGACATCCTTCACGGATGGGATCAGATCCAGGTCCGGTTCAACACAGTACACAAAATTCGTGATCTGATCCCATCCGTGAAGGATGTCATTCCTGACTTACAGTATCCCGGGGTTTACAAATTGAGTTGTACCTGCGTTGATTGCTATATTGGGGAGACAAAACGACACGTCTCTTACCGAATTCGCGAGCACAAATCAGATTTGAAACACGGCAAAACGAATTTCTCTGCCGTGGCTGATCACTGTTACAACGCTGTGGGTGATCACGATATAATTTTCTCCGATACCAAGGTTCTTTGCAAACCTACAGGTTTTTATCAGAGATTTGTTCATGAGGCAATTCAAATCTACAAACACAGACACAATTTCAACCGAGAAGATGGTTTCAAATTAAGCAACCATTGGAAAGATTTTGATTTAAAGCTTTCGTGACTGCAGTAATTCATAATCTTAGTTTTTTCGGTAAAGTCACGTTGAAGGGAAACAACAAAATAATAAAATATATATAAAACAATAAAAAATTCTCACGACGTTTCGACCATAACTCAAACGGTCGTCTTCAGGTGTGTTGGTTTGCATGAATTTATTTTTAAACGGCGCATTTTGTATTTATAAAAAACGTTAGCGCCACGCGCAACGATTTGGCAATTTATTTAGGACTAGTCCATCTATATTCTGAAAAGAGGAGGGGGGAGACGAATTTTTTTATAATGTATGCTGTCTGAAAGCCACTGTAAGCGTGAACAATCAATTAAGACCTGAAATAGTTTATCAAATCTTTCCAATGATTGCTAAGATAGAATCCATCTTCTCGGTTGAAATTGTCTCTGTGCTTGTATATATGGATAGCCTCATGAACGAATCTCTCATGGAAGCCAGATGGCTTACAAAGAACCTCTGTCTTGGAAAAGTCAATGGCATGTGAGCCTACTGAATTAGAACAATGATCTGCCACGGCCGAGGTGTTGGTCCTACCGTGTTTAAGGTCTGCTTTGTGTTCACGAATGCGGTCCGAGACATGGCGTTTGGTTTCTCCAATGTAACTACTACCACAGAGGCAACTTAGTTTGTAGACACCAGGGTATTGTATGTCCAGAATCACATCTTTTACAGACGGAACCAGATCACGGATTTTATGTAATGTGTTTGATGTTCTAAATCGAACTAAACATTAAACTAATTTCAATGGTACAGTATATTTTTCAAGTAGTGGTACCCCAAACTTTCGCAGCTCTTATAAATCCCTTTTCACACCATCAATAGGTAAACTCCCCCTTCCCCCCCGCACCAAACGGCAAGTCCACCGGCACGTACACCACCTCTTTTCTAAAGTCGGCCAATCAAATGCTAATTTTTATGCTAATTCCTTCGTCAAGGCACCTTGTTTGCTCGCACACAGCTTAAAGGTAGCGGTCTGAGCGTGGCTGTGTTTCACTCCAGCGCTGTCCTCAAGACAGCCTGATCCCTTCACCTGATGAAGGCCGCTTGTGTTGTGGCCGAAACGTCGTGATTTTTGTTTTATTTTTTACCTACGTGACTTTACCGAATAGAACCAAAGAGTATAGACGTGTAAGTCATGTCTGACTGTGTCCGGCAAAGCAACCCCCTTACCTCCTCGTGGTGCCGGACTGGCAACCCTGTCATGGGCAGTGCTGTGGGCGGGAGGGCCAATTCCGATTGGCCTTTCCCCTCATGGCGTTTGTGACCACCACAGCAGCCAATAGGGGCCTTTGGACGGGTGCGAGGGGCTGGCAACCCCTCCACCTTCAATTAATTACCGCTAAACCACGACGGAAAATTTTAATTTATTCATTCCTCTGCCTCGATACTGACGTAAATGGTGTGGATTTGTTTTTCTGTCTGCAGCTGACGCTTCCTTTGATGCTTCCTCTGCAGAATTGGTCTGATGGAGCAAAGGCACTCAGGGCAGCTCGGTACAAAAAGGAAACATTGCGACCAGTATGCAAACAGCACGGATCGTACTGGAAATTTGACACGGCACCAGAGAACTCACACAGGAGAGAAACCCTTCAGGTGTAGTGTGTGTGGGAAGCCGTTTGCTGTGTCATCACATCTTCAAAGACACCAGAGAACGCACACAGGAGAGAAACCCTTCAAGTGCACTGTGTGCGGGAAGGCGTTTACACAGTCATCACATATTAAAAAACACCAGAGATCACACACAGGAGAGAAACCTTTCAACTGCAGTTTGTGTGAGAAGGCATTTTCAACTTCATTTAATGTTAAAATACACCAGAGAATACACACAGGAGAGAAACCCTTCAAGTGCAGTGTGTGTGGGAAGGCATTTTCAATTTCAATTCATCTTAAAATGCACCAGAGAACACACACAGGAGAGAAACCCTTCAGGTGCACTCTGTGCGGGAAGGCGTTTGCGCAGTCATCAGGTCTTCAGAGACACCAGAGAACACACACAGGAGAGAAACCTTTCAAGTGCACTCCGTGTGAGAAGGCATTTGCATGGCCATCAGGTCTTCATAGACACCAGAGGACACACAAGCATCAGAAGATCCCCAAGGAGTGTAGTCTGAAATCGACTTGTGAAAGTCAAAGTGCTGCAATGAGCCCATCCCTCCTGATAAAAGAACCAGAAGTATATTCCAGCTTGGACACTATGAAATGTATCAAGGTGAAATTTGAAGAGACGAAGGTAAAACGTGAAGAAGTGATGGTGAAGAGCGATGAAGTGAAGGTGAAATGGGAAGAAGTGATTGTGAAGAGCGAAGAAGTGACGGTAAAATGTGAAAATGAAGATTCAACTCCAACATCGGACCTTCACATCGATGGAGGCAACGTGAAGCAGGAGGATAATTCTGACTTTGAGGCAGAGCATGGCAACTCCGAGCAGTTTGTGGAAGTGGAGGTGTGGGTGGACTTCTTTGACAATTCAAAGTCAAATAGAGTCCGGTTAGATGTGTAAGCTTGAGATGAAGCTCCAATAGATTCATTTTTTCACAGGCCTTTAATGAAAATAATGTGAAGTTGAACACTCATTTCTCGGTTCAAACCTGCAAAGGAAGAGCGGCCAATATTTGCGGACCTGGGGGTTGGGTAGATCTTTATCCAGGAACCAGAGCCAATAAGCTCCCAAACATTCACTATGTTTTCGGAATAATATTAGCATTTATCTGGTGCTTGCTCAATCGCCTCAGCAACTCGGAGTTTTGTATCACATCTCATCACGAACACTTGAACAGCATGTTTTTATTAAGAGTGATTCTGATTTTTTTTTATATAATTTTGATCGGATGTAGCGCTGGTGCACGGAAAGGGTGAGTTACCCTCACCCCTCCCCTGTTGCCTCCTGCCTTGCCACACAAAGACAGCTAGACGATAATTACTCACAAGCCTGCTGGGGAAATTAAATGTAATAAAAAACGGCAAACCCAAAGGGGGGCTAATGAGATTCTGCGGGAAATCCCCAGTTGACTTCAATAGAAGGCCGCCATAAAGGAAACAACCCACAATAAAACAAACAAAACGGGAATAGCAGGGGTCAAGAACCTCCCTTGGACAGCGAAATCCACCCAAGGGCAGTTAATCATTATGAGCTGACTGGGGTTTTTAAAATACAACAGCAAGGCTTGAAGCTTAGCTATATCTTCAACCTGAGGATATCAAAATATAACTTGAGAATAAGAAGCATGGATCCCTGGTAATACAGACGGGGAAGAAAGGTTAATAAAACCCTCGTAATATCCTCGGTAACAACTATGGCATTGCACAAAAATGTGTTAAGCATGAACCAAATAATAATTATGAAAGTATTAGACATAGGATCATTCAGAAATCCACACTGCGTCAACCACATCATTGGACTGGATGAGGAACCTTTGCATTCATTTATGACGATCATTAAAAATAAAAAAATAAACTGTTGCTTTTCATAATGCCATATGTAAGACGAAGAACTGCGAGTTGAAGGTTCCGGGGATTGCCCTCGTGACTGGCAAATTGATAGGGGGCTTTGCATCGGCAGAAGCCACGCATCACCGAGAGGTTATTTTTTGCGTCATTGAGAGGCTGCCAGCCAAGGCTGGTGCTCGCAGTATTACAATACAAACGTGGGGAAGAGTGCTGTAGCATTACTATTCCCGGTGGGGAGGTCGCTGTGTTCACCCAACACTTACGATCATAGAGAAAATCGTTCTGATTGTGCTCTGATCAAAGTCAACCCTTCGAGGGAAAACTGGTGCAACCACTTCGTGAGTGTCCCTTTAATTGCAACCCACAGGCCAAGGTTAGTTGAGGGTAGCATCAGAGACTGACACGGAACGATATACAAATCTGTTGAAGAGGGGGGGGGGCGGGGGGGGGGAGACAACAGGCGCTGTCTCTCCAAGTCACTGCACAGTCTACAAGGATCAACAGTGTCTGGTGCCAAGGGGGGTGACGCGTGGCAACCAGCGGACGAGCTGCGAGTGGTGTCTGGCGACAGGATGATCGCGCACATCGACGCAGATGGAGCCGGACCCATCATCCCTGCCAGTACGGGCACCACCGACAGCGTGATCAATGTGTCGACTCGGCAACCACCCCAGCGGTGGAGAGAGACTGACGAAGCAGCCGAGAGCACCGTGTGTTCGACACACACGCAGATCCTGCGCCCCTGCTAGGGACCTGAGGTGTTTTCGGTACAAGGAACGCTGCACCTAGGAAGCTGCTAACTCAACAGTTAGCAAGAAGACACTACACACCCACACACAACGCGCATATTGGTGCTAATATGATTGTTCCAAAAAGTTATCTTTGTGTTTTTCGAAAAGGGTTGCCATCCCAAGGTGGTGTGTTAACTATTAGTTGATCATGAAAAGCATTGTTCTGTCCCTTGAGTTATATGAATACGGTCGTTTAGAAGTATTTTAGTATTTTTTTTTGTTAATTGCATAACCTTACCAATGAATTCATTGACACACTAAACATTGATAAGCATCTATGTTATAAATCTACACACTCACAGGAATACTATTGTGTTGAGATTTTTCTTTTGATCACAGAATCTTGCCCACGAATTCATTGATGTCCCATTAGCCAATTGATAAGCATCTGTTAGCCAAACAGGCACACTAGGACTCACACTATTGTTTCAAGACATTTCGTTAATTACATAATCTTAAATCTTAATTTGAAGCTTTCGTGACTGCAGGAATCCATACTCTAACTACGTGACATTACTGAAAGAACCAAAGAGTATACATAATCTTACCAATGAATTAATTGATGTCTACTTTTCCATTAGGCGCATGTTTCTTTAGCACGTTTCGTATGAATATTGTAAATTTTTAAAGGACGTTTCCTCTCGCCGTTTTAACAAACGTAACCATTGAGGGTTAATTTATGGATCGATGAGTAGGAAATCTTCAGGAGGACGGTGTTGACAATTCCGATCATAAGTGTGTCCGCATATTAGAGTTTTTAGATATTAAAGTTGCTTATAGAAGAGCCTGAGTGGTTCCTTCCTAACTTCATGCGTAATAATCTTAATAATAAGAACTGTATCCTGCGGTTAGATCTGAATTCTGAGACCTGATAGAATTACACTAAAACATGATAAGCAAAAGTTAAAGCGAGAATCATTGTATTATCATGATTGGTAATACACAGGCAATTAAGCTGAGCCTAATTTGCATAAGTGCTTACATTTACATAATTCCATACATTTGCATAATACCAACACACGGGATAACTGGCCCTTAACAGGATAGCAACCTATGGTGTTGGACCACCAGGCTAACTGCACTCATTACGAGAATTTGCGCAAAAGCGCCCTCAACTTCCCCCTCTGGACCTCGGACAATTCCGCATTTTCCGAACAATGCACATCCATCTACCCCTCACCAGAACTTTTGTGCGGCCGCATGTTGGATGCGGCTCCCACACTGCCAATGATGCTTCCCGCACGAAATGCTGGCGACGCATGAGCTAGCACGGTACCCTCCTGAATGACTGACGTTTTTAACCCTGCGTTAAGGGCCTGAATGAAGGGTTCCTGATCGTTGGATACCAAAGTCTGGGCCCCAACTAATGTTAACCCACGAACGGCTTTATTAGAGGGTCCCAAGATAATTTCTCCTGCCATCGCATCCTGGTGTAGCGGCTTCCGCAATCGCAAGGTGACCAACATTTGTGCGCCAGGGGGAATCTTAACTGTTTTATGTGCAAGTGCTTGCACGGTAGCATTGGCTGTGCACAAGCGACGATGGACGCCGCACCTTGGAGGAGCTCTGTGAGGCGGGAGTGTGCGGAACAGCGTTCCCTCCCTGACGGCGGTGAGCTATTGCGTGCCCGTTCGTACGAGCTGCTCTGCCGACGGCGCCTCGCCTCCCTTCTCCGGGGACGCCATCCCCTGAGTTGTTTGAGAGATGAGGTCTTCGTTCTCGTCATCTGACGTCCTGGTATGTGGTCTGCTTTGAGCAAACAGAACCTAAGACGGCGAGCTTACTAAATAAAGTTTGGCCACTTTCGACACCAGTTGTAGTGAATTCAACTGAGTCGCAGACATACTCTTTGGAGGCAACACATTTATTAATACCAACACACGGGGTAACAACCCCTTTACATAACACCAATGGTGGTGAACCACCAGGCTGACTATGGTAATTATACTTAACTAGCTTCAATGTACCGGACCCCAGCTTGGGTCCAGGTCCACGTGTTGGAGACTCTATAGGACGTAGAACGTAGATTCTTCAGGATGAACAACAGCAGCTGGTCCCTCTCGGGGACCCGGCTTATGTCTTCTGTGGCGTGGCTGGCTGCGACCTTATCTACGACCACCTTCTGGAATCCTCTAGCTGCATCTCGACCCTGACACATGACAACCCCTAGACCACACCCTATCCTGTGGGGGTCGGCACTGCACGCAGAGCGTGGTGCCATCCACCGCTGTCAGCGCTCACCGAGCCCCTCTGGGGCCAGTACTGCACCCACATAAGTGGTGTCCGCAATGTCAATACATCGCACGCCGTGCCTCTCTAGGGCCGGCATTACACAGTGCCATCCGCGATGTCACTACATATACACTACATTTGGTGTCAGAAGTGCTGAAGATCCTTCGCCGTCATGTCCAAGGCAGCGGTAAAGTGCAGAAAACCATCTGTTGCATCTTCTGACAACGACTACACCGAGCAAGACGTTTTTACGAAAGCTCCAGGTGTCGGGGCCCTGATTACCCGTTCCAACGACGCGCTGCCATCTGCCCAAGAGTGCGTGGCGACCGCAGCTCAGCCACCTCCTCCGCAAAGCTGGCTGGAGATCGCCGGTCACCTTGGAAAATTGCTGTCAGCTGCCGCTTATCTCTACGAGCGAATGACAGCTGCAACTTACGCGGGACGTCAAGACGTAATTCCCGCTGCTGTCGCGGCCGAGGTGATGGGCGCTGGACCTTCCCGCCATTTCTGTGGCTGCAGCCACGCTCTGCTCGTCCGCTGTTTCGAGTAATCCGCCCGCGCCGCAGCAGCCAGCCACCATA